CTGTTACACATAAATGCATGTAGTAGTTTTATTTCTAGTTTACAGGTTGGATAATATGGCTGGCTATAGTAGAACAACTTATTGATCTGAATCTGTATCTGTTATTTTTTTCTTTTTCCGTAACAAGAATATTTATTAGTGGTAAAGATAGGTCGTCTTACTTGTGCAATACTTAACCCATTCACTTTTGGCTATTTTGATGCAATTCTAGGGTACTGAAGAAAATTTCTTGCAGAAAACATCTGTTCCTTTCTCCACTAATTCACACGATGCTTTTTTTTCTCCTAATACATTGAACTTGAGCAGCTTTGGTAAAGTAATAAAGAAACTTCAAGAAATTCATCCAGAGGCTAGCAGGTGAGAGTATTTGGATTTCATTTCTGCCCTGATTTGTAATGGATCCAGTATCTATGGTAGCTAAGCGCTAAATGTGTTGCACAAAACGTGGTGCAAGCAGTTATTTCTTTTATTCATATAGAGACAAAATTATGGCTGCTGTGCTGGAGGTGAGGAAAAACAACAAAGGGATCCTGAGTGGCTTGGCCATCAGTTCTATTGTGGAAAGGACGTCTGTCATTCTGAGAAAATCAACACCCAGTTGTGGGTGGGAAAAGCAGTGTAAATAAGTGAGTATTCCAGCCTACAGGAGCATATTGAAATAAAACCATTTGAATTTGTGCAGCTACATAGCCTGACGAGATTAGTAAGTTAACAGCACTTTAAGAAGTACCTGAATGCATCCACTGAAACAGTGGTTTCTAAGAATTGTTAGCTGTTTTGCAGAACATCCATTAACAGATTGACTTGCTAGCTCTGTGTACTCTATAAAACCTGGTATACTGGGGGGTTTATTATGCAAACTGGTTTATTGATTAACTTAGTGGAGAACGTCGTCATACATATTCTGTACAAAGCTGACACCTAATGGACAGTCCTTACGTAGCAGTTCGTAAAGAAATCAGAAATCCCAGAATAGACTCAATTTTGGTTTAAGAATTGATCATTTCTGTCTGATGTACGAGACTCAGTTCTGGACTAGAAATCTAAACGGGGTAAGATTGATGTCTTTTAGTTTTTTTAATGTTAAAGGACATCTTGCGTGATGACACAGCTCTGGGTACTGCAGGAAGCTGCAGCAAATTGAACATGCTAAAACCACAGCCCAGAATTCTGAGGATGTGTGTGTGTATTGTCCTGTAGGAGACATCCTTGAGTTGGTGCTTGTTTCACTCTCCTGCTAAGCTTGCTTTAAGGACCCCAGTAGTGCCACTGCCAGGTTTCCTGCACTGTTCCGTATGTTCTTAGCAATGCTCCAGCTTCACTTTTGCCCACAAACACAATCTGTACGATATTTATTCTTCTGTAGTGTTTCTTCCTGAAACTGCCCCAAATTCTCAGTGCTCTGATTTTGGTCTCAAAGCTCCTGTTTCAAGGATGTTGAGGAGTTACTTTGGTTTTAATTGATACCACCACTTCCAAGAGGAGTAGTATTTGTGATGATACTTTTCCATATCCATATTTCTTTCCCACCCATTGAATGTTGCTTATCAGACTAAATTCTCCTGGTCAGATGCCTATGCATGAGTTACTATCACGAGTAAACCACAACACAGCCTCAACTTGAACAGAACTGCTATGCATTACATACCAGAACTGTGATAGAAGTAGAAGGATTCTGCCCAGGAAGATGAAGCAGAAACCTGGGCTGGAAAAGCTTCCCTAGATAAGTTAAATATACAAATAAATGCTTATAGGTCAGTCATCTCAGCAGGGTTTTACATGCAGCATAAGATTATACCTCCCAGGGTGAAGAAGAGCGTGAAAGAATCTCAACCGATACCCATGTTTGGCTGAGTTCATTTGGAAAGGATTAGTGTAACCTAAGTCTGGCATCTGACTGTCCTGTGAGCTGTTAGAGATGCCTCTGCGAATCCAAATAAAATTTAAAAAAGAAAAGTCTTCGTATTAATCTACTGACTGACTTCTGCAGGACTGCAGATACATGCTTATATATAAAAAAAAAATCTTACACTAGAAAGTATTTTCAATTAGTAAGGTTTTAACAGCCTCAAAATGGGTTGTGCTTTCCTTGACAAGTGATTTTTTTTATTATCATTTTTTTTAAATGGTATGGGGGCTTCACCTGCATAATTGTTCCTGTGATAGTATATTTTTCTGTCGCTTTGGTAAAGAGATGATGACCTATAACCGTTTCTACTTTCATCACAAGGGAGCTGTGAAATAGCCAAGTCATCAGTAAGTATTGGGGAAAAAGAATTCTCGTCTTTCCATAGTAAGTTTTGCATGTTTAAGAAAAGATGATTCTGCCCAAAACTCATCTATATTAATTCTGGGATGTGTGTAGCTTCCGACTTTCCTGAAGGGTAAGTGTTCCCCGAGAAATACCACCTTGGAGCCTTGTGTTCTTACAAAAGTTACTCAGTGAAGTGTTAAAAACGACTCTTTCCTTAAATTTTATCAGTACCAAATGTCCACACTCAGAAGCTTTCTGTGAAATTAATAATCTGCATAGTGAAAATTTAAAAACAGACCAGTGGAGAGGGGCCTTATCAAAGCATAACCAAAACAGTGCTTTGAGAAACATAAAGAAATGTGTAGAGTCTACGTACTCCTAAGTGATTTTTCAATTAATTGAACTAATAAAAAAATGACCACTGGATACGATTTGTTGCACAAAGATTTTATGTTTTATTATCTTGTAGTCATTTCTTTCATGTTGTTCTGGAAGCTCGGAAACCTCCCTCTTCTGTGTACTTCTGCAGGACGTAGCAAAATTATTACAGCTTCTAGTGGTTTTCTGGGATATTAAAACTGCTGACGTTCCTTTTATTCCAGTTTGAGTGTGTACATGCAAAATTTACCTGCTGATTTTGTTTGTTTGTTTTCTTTTTAAGTAGATGGCTTTCCAGTTATGAAGAATTTGATCATCTCCCTTTGGAAGATTTTTGGAAATTCTCTCCTCCAGATTGTTCCAGAATTGTATTGTATTCCTTCTTTGATTTATTTCAGCAGATCTTAATGGAAACTCCTGTAGCATCACTGTATAATATGCAGTTTTATCCAAGAGAATATAACCTCAAGGTCAGTTTGAGGTGGTTTTCTGTTTATGCAGATATTTAATGATTCTTCCCAGTTTTGTTGTTCCCGGTAGCTGGTTCAAGTGTTTCAGCAGGTTCCTCTAAGATAGCAAGACCACACTTCAGTGAAGCAAGACTTGCTCTATAACCAGCAGGGCTTTTCTAGGCTGAGGTGCACAACCCCCAGTTCTTGCGTGCCGCTTCATTTTAGGCGTGGTGGTGGCAGCTAAGACGTTAACAAATAGCCAACATGCTTGTGCTTTCCAGACAATCTGATAGTGAACAGTCTGTAGAATTCCATGTATCCTTTGAATACCAGGGAGGAGGCGGTGAGGGCTTCTTTTTAGAAAACTAGGCTTGGGAGCTGGCAGCGCTGGTGACGGCAGTTACATAATCCCGTGCTGCAGCAGTAGTGTTTGCTCAGGAGCAGAGTCATCTCGTGTCCATTTTTGACTCAGAAGCATGTTGCAGACTGCAGAGCTGAACGGTTCCTTCAGGATGAAGCCTAGGTTTTTTTATTATTTTTTTCAGGACGTGGCATTTTGTTGTCTTGTATTCCACTTCTGTTGCTGCAAGCAGAGGATGGGCTTCCACATCCTCTTTTTGTGTCCCCCGGGCTGGCATAGTGGGAAGCACACGGTCACTTAGACTTTTGGTTTGGATTGATGCAGGGGGGAGGAGGAAAGCTGCAAGTATCTAGTCTTTTGTGTTTGCTTGTGTCGTTACTGTACAGAAGAGGCCTAGATTTTAATCCTTTCCTGGTAAATGAAGGAAAGGCAGCTTAGGTGTACCTGTCTGGTCAGGGGGTGAGGAGAATTATCCTTGGTTGACACAGACGGGCTTATGCTGCGATATTTCACGACAAGACAGTACATTGCAGTTGTCCATCCATGTTGTACTTTGTCCTGTATCCCAGCTGCATTTGCTGCTGAAAATAGCAGCCTTACCTGTGAATAAAGCTTAAAATTCCTGCTTCAAAAAACTGTGCTGATGTTCTGCTGTTTTCAGAGCGCATTCCTTCCCTCTCCTCTTAGAACCACTGCAGGTAACGCTTTCAGAGCCCCAGCCTTGCCTTCGGCAGTCAGTGCTGTAAACTTTGTGCTGAAGCTGCAGGTGAGGTCCTCAACTTTGGTTTCTTCCCCGTTTGTATCAAGATGAAAGCAGCCCTAGGCTTTGCTCTACCACATTATTAACAGCAGGTGCTGCCCTCTGTGTTCCCCAGCCTTCATTCTGCAATTAGTTGGGAGTTATTAATAGTTTAGCTAGAACTGGCGTGCAAGCTGGTTTGTTTCTGTTGGGAAGGCGGAGATGGGTATGATGGGAAACACTGTGGTGTTCGTTCAGCTTCTCTTGTGTCTGGTTCTCCCTTTGAAAGGAGGGAGAGCTCACTTGAACTGTGACAGAACCCATTTGGGGGCGATGAAGCTGGAGCTCTCGCCCACTGAGATGATACGCTCCTGATGGCATATCCTAATCCCAAACGTGCTCCTGAAGAGCCCAAGCAGGCACTCTCCTGTCCAGGCAAGGCAAGAATTCAGCTCGCTGTAGGTGGAGCTGTACTGTAGTAATGTTTTTCGGTTAAAAAAAAAAAAAAAACCCACAAAACACTTACTTTCCTCCTAAAATTGCACTGCATCCCCTATGTTCCTATTCAACACTGTAAAAAGACAGGGAAGGTATGGTTTGTAGCCTTAGGCTAGAGGGAAATACCTTCGGTGGAGCTGGAAGGAGGGCTAAGGAAAACGCGTGACAAGAAAGGATTTCTCGGTGCTTTCCTTCGGAACTGTTCCTGTTCGCTTTCCCATGTCTCTGGGCATCTATCCACCTGTCATGTCTCTGGGCATCCATCCACCTGCCCCTTCCGCGGCGAGGAGATGGAGACGACGCCGTCTTCCCCGGACTAAGGCCCGCCGAACTCAGCGGGAAGGTTCCCTGCCTTCCGTCCCGCCTTCCACCGCGGACAACC